CTCCTCTCCTGAGAGGCTTTCCCTCACCTGTTACAAACTCTCACTCCTCTCCTGAGAGGCTTTCCCTCACCTGTTACAAACTCTCACTCCTCTTCTGAGAGGCTTTCCCCCACCTGTTATAAACTCTCACTCCTCTTCACGTGTCTCCTGTGTGGCGTTCTCCCACCTGTAACACACTCTTTCACATGTCTCCTGTAAGGTGTTCTCCCACCTGTTCCGCACTCTCACTCCTGTCCTGTCTCTCTCCTCCCACCGCGTCTCCTGAGCAGGCATAGGCAGACTGTCCCTCGGAGCTTTCCTAGGTAGGTGTGCTGCATCTTAGGCTTGCCTACTGCTCCTTCCTCTTCCTCTCTCCCTCCTTCCTCTTCCTTCTTTCTGTCTCTGTCCCTTTCTTCCCCGTCCTTCTCCCTCTCTTCCTCTTCCCTCACTCCTCCTCACCCTCTCATCTTTCCTGTCTTCCCTCTCTTCCTCTCTTCACTCTCTCTCTTCCTCTTCCCTCTCTTCCCTCCCTCTGCATGTCGCTCTGCATGCGTGGTAGCTTGTGTTCCCCTGTAAACCTGCAGCGGTTCCTTGTGTCTCCGAGCACAGTCTTCCGCGAGATGTTTGTGTTAACATGACTAAAGGGCAGGATCCCACAACCCCCTACCCCCCTGCCTCCACAGTCAGTGCCATCGCTGTTTTCTTGTGTTCTGACAATGCTTTGGAAGCTTGGCAGCCATATTGTTTTTCTTGTCTTTCCCCCACAGATCTTGCCTTTATCACCACTACTGCCTTCCTCTGGAAAGTCTTTGTGATAACAGTCATCAGCTGTCTTCCTCTCTACATCGTCAAATACTTGAAGCGCAAATTCTCCCCGCCAAGCTACTCCAAGCTTACCTCATGAGTGACTTTTTTGGGGGAGGGGGGGGGGCTTTCCTGTTTTTCGGTCCTTTTTTTTTGTTCCCTTCCCACCATCCTGTGGTCCCTGGCAGCCCGATTACTGCAGACCCCACCCTCCACCCCCCTTACGGGCTGCATCGCCACAGGACAGAGCCCCAGGGGGCGCTTGAGACAAAGAGAACGTGATGCCGGAATTACTTGAAACAGATCAGCACAAGGCGAGACGGACGCGAGCGTGAGTGGGACGCTTCCGATCACAGGACAGCAGAAGGCCCCGTGGCATCTACTTTCAGCTCTGCTTCTGAGCAATCCTCTGTTGTCCCTTAACTGCTTCCTTTCTACGCCCACAGAACTGGATTTTAAAAGTTTTTTAGCGTGTGAATACCTGCAAGACAAAGACCTGTCGGTTTACTTTGGAATTATTATTATTATTGGTATTATTACTCTGACTATTTTGTGGTTGTTTTGCACTCTCAACAAGGGTCAGTTGGTGCACCATGGAACCCTTGTAACCAAATGATGCTTCACTGGGTGGTGGGTGGGGGGGGGTAACTGCCTCTGGCTGGTGATCCTGTTTGTGAAAGAAAAAAAAACAAACAGTTACCACACACACATAGGGTATGAGTGCAGCGTGAACTCTCCCTTCCCAGTTATCTATTCTGGGAACAACTTACCCTCTTGTTCATTTAATTAATTTTTTTGCTGTTAGCCGGTATTGTTCGCATCTTCATAAGCCAAACCACACACAGCATTAACGTCCGGCTTCCATAAGTATTCATCTGACGTTCTCAGCACTCCATCTCCACTCATGATCACCGACTCTTCAGAGGGGTTTCGATGATGCTGTGTAGCAGAGCAAGGTGGAAGGGCTCTGATTTGAGCTCACAATACTGTTGAAGGAGCTTTGACGAAGGAAGTAAAGATGGCTGAGTTATTTGTTTTGAGTCTATGTTCTGGAATGTTCAGTATAACGACTGTATGGGTACCACACCTTGCTGCAGATTTATAAGACAGTAGCTGCACTCCAGAATGGAACAAATCATTTGTGTCATTTTGAGCTCACCATTGGGTATTGCTTAGTTTCACACATGTGAATGTATTTGCGTTGAGTATTCAACTGAAGCCAGACACTGTGCTTTTCTGTAGTATTTGCATTGGCTGAATTTCTAAGCCTTGAAATCCTGTTTTAGGTGTACTCAGTACTCAGTACTCAGGTAAATAACTTCTTATCCCAAACTACTGAGGTGAAACGTGCTTCTTTGTACAGCTTATGTTCTTGTTGCGAGCAGTTAAAGCCTTTTTGTTTTTTCAACTCTGAGAGAGGAATCAAACTCGTTTGACTTAGAGGGGATTTGAGTGTGCCTAACACTGGACTGGAAATTGAGAATCCGTTGTTTTATCGCCGCATCCTGATGGGTTCATTGGGGTGTTCAGCTTGCTTATAATGAAGTGTGTGCTGTAGATATTTGTGGTTTCAATATAAAATGCTTTTCATGTTATTAACAGCACATTTCTAACATTCTGATTTTTCTTGTTTAAAGAGCAATAAATTTAATTTTTACCAAGAAAGTGGTGATCTTGAAGTGCTCTGACGTGACCACAAGGTTAACGGGGTGACACTGAGTGTGACTTTTCCTCACAGACCACGGCGTGAACCTTTGGGCATTCCTGCTTTGAATGCTGGGTCCCAGACAACCGATGCATACATATTGGCAGTTTTACTGAGGGTTCGTCTGCTCCATATGCTATTCACCTGTGTGACCAGCAGGCGGCAGCAGAAACCAGAAATTTCTCTACCACCATATTAATTCTACATTGTTTCAGTGGATTAGTGATGGGTTACCGGACATAACATTTGTTTAATCATCTTCATATTTACAACTGTAGTAAAGAAAATTCTTTCTCTTTGGGCAGTACTTGTACATTGTCGCTGCCTTTCGATGGGCTAATCTCTTAGTGTTACGACACTGGTGTGTATTCCAGCTGTTTGCTAGGACTTACGTTAACTCACTGCATCACTCCTGACTCTTCAGCACCAGCTGAGGGCAGCCGTAGGAATGGATGCTGGAGCCACACACACAGGATGCTTTGGAGTAAAAGGCAGAGCAGAGGACACTCTGGATGAAACGCTGATCCACACACGGGGTGGCGTCCCCAGCTACACGGCTCTGCTTTGTGGGAGGATCCCCTCAGTAACGTGCAGAACCTGCACACCCCATTCACAAAACCAGAATGGGTGATGAACCCAGTATCCTGCAGGAATGACACTTTGGGGCCTACCTCTGAGAGTTATAGTACAGTCATGTGTCGCTTAACCGTGGGGATGCATTCTGGGACAAACCTAGATGGTATAGCTTACTACAACCTAGGCTATGTGGTATAGCCTAAGTAACAATGCAAAGTATAGTACAGTGAATAGATAAACCTGTGACATAGTTGTTTATTATCATTATCAAGTATTATATACTGTATATAATTGTATGTGCTATACTTTTATATGACTGGCAGCACAGTAGGCTTGATTACACCAGCATCACCACAAACACTTGAGTAATGCGTCACGCTATAATGTAACTAAGCGATAGGAATTTTTCAGCTCCGTTATAATCTTATGGGACCACCGTCATATATCCGGTCCGTCTACGACCGAAATGTTATGCGATGCAGGACTAATGTATGAATAAGGACAAAATAAAGCGAACAATGCGACGCACTGACTGTACATTATATATCATATATAATTCACAATATAAATTTCAGTGAAAGGAAATGTACTAATTTTCTGAGAAGGCCTTTCTTACCCTGCGTTGGGTTTCCTTGGGTTGAGGGGCGGTGCTGCCTTCACGCGGCTCTCCGCTCCAGGGTGTGGGCTCCGTCAGCCTTGACGGCTCTATCCGCTCACCCGCAGCGCAGTATTCACAGGACGGGGGAGAACTATTTCTCTCCTACTCATGTTACTTTCTTGCCTTCCATAAAACAGCCAGCCAAGATTCACCACCTCGCTTTATTAACCTCATCTTTAAGGTGACCCCTGACATGTATATATTCTCAGTTTCTTCTTGTTTTTGTATGTTCATGCTCTAGACGAGGCCATGTTATAGTGATTTTTAAAAGCAGTTTGGAAAGTCTGCTTTTCACTGAGGCTCCATTGCATTGCATGCAGTCCAAAGAGAGACAATGAAGACGTTTGTGTGATCGAATTCAGGAAATGCTTTCACATAAACAGTTGCGCATCCTAAAAAGCCCTTTACGAGCCTGAGTGTAAACACCAGACAGCCAGCAAAGTGCACCGACACCCATTCGATAAAGAGACCCAAATCTCAAATACCTTTACTCTTAGAAAATTACATCAGCTTCCTGGAAGAGTAAACTGGGAACCAGCTCGGCTTCTCCATCACTCCTCATCTTCCCAGCCTCTCCTCGCTGACTTTGAAAGTTGAAAGAATCTCGTCATGTCTGTGTTTGTTTATACCATCAGCCCCCTCACTGGTAATGGGGGCTGTTTTTAACTATTATGTGTATATATGGGTGTGTGTGCTGGATTCTGACCACACTGAGCCCACCGCCCACCGTGGTTAGGGAGCGAGCAGCTGGATAACTGTGGTCGTTCAGTTTTGTGAGGGCCGTCCATGGGCCGCAGGTGAGCTGACAGGCGGGCTCTCCCTCCCCCGACACGTGGGTGATTAAGGTTCCGGTGGGGTGGAATTAGCTTTCCCAGAAGTCCACGACAATGCAAACCACAGCGTGACGCATCGGCGTGGTGAGTAACGTGCACACATGGCCGGGCGTGGGGGAGAAGCTGACTTAAAACCGCCTGAGCTGCAGCTTCCAGCCAGATGCACAAGGTGCTGGAGCAAAACGGTGGAATTCTATAAAAAAAAAAAAAAAAAGTCTGTCCTGGTGTCTGCAAAGTGTGTGGCTCTATCGAGGTGCTTCAGGGTGACCTCCCATGTGGCTCTATCGAGGTGCTTCAGGGTGACCTCCTGTGCGGCTCTATCGAGGTGCTACAGGGTGACCTCCTGTGTGACTCTATCGAGGTGCTTCAGGGTGACCTTCTGTGTGACTCTATCGAGGTGCTTCAGGGTGACCTTCTGTGTGACTCTATCGAGGTGCTTCAGAGTGAC